CAAGCATTTGGACACTGACTTCAACTTTGCTAGACGTGCAATCCTGTCCTGCACGCTCAACTGTGTCTTGAACACATACTTGCCTTTCCCCTTGCTCTTTCCACCTTTCTTTCCTGAACCTTTACCTTTGCCTTTGCTTTTGCCCTTCAACTGGTCAGTCACGACAAAGGCCATCATTTGATGCTGGGCTGCGCTGCCCAGTTCCTCTGAGACATCGTTCTCTTCATCATCACATTCTCCCATTGCCATCAACGCTGTGGCAACTTCAGGGTCTTCGATATAGTCTTCATGTTCTTCATCATCTGGTTCTTCATCTTCTGCTGCGACATAAGCTTCATGCTCATAGTCGTCCTCTGCTTCTGCTTCATAGGAATCTTCATAGTCCCAAGAGTCATCTTCAACAATGTACGCAGATCTTTGCCAACTGCGCCCTTTTCCTCCTTTGTAGGAAGACTTGCCCAAAAACTTGCCTCCGCCTTTCTGCCTCCGAGGGCTAGTATTACCAAAAGCGGACCAGCTGCGCAAGTGAATCTGTCCATGGAATTCAAGCAAGAACTTGGCGTAGACGTCAAAGGATTGGTTGTCGCCTGCAGCTGTCTTGATCATGAGCTGTTCTGTCTTGCTCAAGCCAGAACCTTCCAGAAGTAGCTCACCACGCATGGGGTCTGAAAGACTTACCCCATCATCCATCTCCAAAAGCTTCCTCCACCAACGACGTCTTCGTGAAATGTAGCTAGTCATGCTTTCTGTCGTTTGGCGAGACAAGGGACCATGTGGGAGTTGACCCACTCTGAACAACTCTCGTGCTTCTTGTTGTCGAAGTGGAAAAACTTGTGCACGGATACGCGATATCAACTCATCAATGCCAGTTGGAGTCAACAACTTCTCCAATCCCATGTCTTGAGCTGTGAGGTATGCATCACCTCTCAGACCTTCCAACACCTTGTGGACAAGTGTTGCATACTCTGCTCCATCATCATCCAGTCCGGCAGTGCTCAGAGCTGGTTCTTCTTCTCCTGCCACGCTCTCGGACTTCGGGGTTCCAAAAGCTTCAAATCGTGCCTCGTCATCCTCTGATACATCCCCAGCTTCGGTCGCATGAGTCGGCCTCCTCTGAGAACGTTCTGGTGTGGCTGATTGGCTTCCATGACTCGAATAGGTCTTCTCTGATTTCTTCTTCGCATGTTTCTGCTTGTGCAAAGCAACGCGGACCTTGGTGCGAAATTCCCATTCGAAGAAACCATTTGGATTGCCACTGTAGATGTATGATCCGCTCTTCGTCTCCTGTGGTCCTGAGATACTTCCTCCATGGGATGTGTACCGCAGGCCAGCCAGCGACATCGCAACTCAACAAGTTTCGCAAAGCACTGGAATTACAACGGTTCGACGGATTGCGCGCAGGGTCACGCAATTGGGTTCAACGGTTTTGGATCCAGCGAGTCTCCCCGGGTGAGTCAGATCCTGAGGGTGCCCCTTCAGAACCTGCTCCGCTACCAGTTTGAATCTCGCACAGTTCCTTTTCGCAGCAGCGAATCAGCTCAAGGGCCCTGTTCAGCCGAAACAGCAGCGACGGTGCATCAACTGTACGCAATACACCCTGGCTACAACAGCTGAAATTCACACAAGTGTTTGGAGCAACCATCTGCACACAGGTTGGCAAAAGCAGTGAGTTCATCGATGGCAAAACGAGGAATAGCGCCGACGATGACTCCGTGAGGGAGAGCCTTTCCTTCTGTTTTAAGCTTGTATTGGTCCGTGTGGCCAGGAAAGATCTGCTGGTCCGAAATCGTGTTCACAAAGACAAGTGCCCTTCGGAGCCAGAAGGTCAAATCACGAAACGTCTTATCACTTGCAGCACATGCATGAATATGGTATCCTCTCTTCCAAAATAAAAATGCGAATTCGACAAAGGCCGTGGAAACACTAGGATCAACACGCCATTGAAGCGAAGTGGTGAAATCAAAGAAGGTGGACAAGTCTCTTGGGTCAAGCCGTGAAAGCCACCCTTGTGGACTTTCAATACGGGCATTCAACGTCCAAGTAAAAAGCTTTGGATCCTGAATCCAATCCCATCTCGGAAATCTTGTCTGCATATCAACTGGCTGGTGCACAACTGCTCCATCATGAGAGCTCGACGCATGAAAAAACCTCTTCATATGTGGGGTGGCTTATGAATCCAGAGTCTACATGATATCCCATTCCCAAACAACCCAGTGGATGGGGCCACCCAGCTGCAGCTCACCCACCCAAACCGGCCACCGGGGTCTCCCGCACCTTCGCGACGGACCTCCGTGGACCGCGCCCGCAGGCGCGGGGCGGTGGAAGCAGCGTCCGGCGCGGAGGGCGGCAGGCCCTGCGAGGGGGTTCACCGCGTTGGTGCAGGGTGCAACATCCAAAAGACGGGGGCCCGGCACATGTTCCTTGCAAGGTTTCATGTCGGAAAGCTGGGATAGCCGGATAGCAAACGTAACCCCCTGCTGAAGCATCATGAAGACCTGTTCATGCATCCGTCCCGGAGAGAGTGATGGGCAGGTGTCTGGGACCAAATCTATCGGCAATTGCTGGAGAAAACTATCTGGATCTAAATGTATCTATATATATATATATACTAGGCTCTAGAGAGACAGGAGTTGTGGAGCATAGTCGCTCGGCAAGTACCAACTCATCAGGGCCTAGTATATATATATATATATGCGAAACGGTCCAATTCCGAACTTCTCCAACTCTCTGAGGCCATGGGCAGACGGGGTGATGGTCCAACGAGTGCGGACCTCGGACACTCCGAAAGCCGGAGTTCCGGCTGTGCAGCTCTCCGAAAAATCACCACTACTTAGAAGACTGAAACAAACGTCCTCAAGTGAGTAGTGTATAGACCCCCAAATAGATAGAAAAGTAAAATCCCTTTCAAAAGGTATTGGAAACCTCTTCTATCTATTTGGAGACCACCACAAACAATTTTAGTGCTCCTTCAGCCAAGGAACTTGCTCCTGAATCCCAAAAATCCCTGCAAGCTGTCCCACTTCTCAGCATGTCGGGCTCGCGGCCCATCTTTCCCAAACAAGTCAATGTGCCGCTTCTGGCGACGCACACTTTCCCGGGCCAGAAAAAAGAACTGTATCACGTGTTCGCTGTTTCCTCCAAGCTCCAGAAAATCACTGTCTCACAGATCACATTCACATCCATGAAAACCCAAACCAGAAGTGTGTCCTTCTTTGTTCCATCCCAGTCCATCCCATTCTTTGCCCATGGCCGGCCCCCTCATCCGCCCCACTTCTGCGGCCCCGCCACGGGGCCAACGACTCGACATGGAGACACGGTTCGAAGGGGCGCCTGAGGGCTGAAGACGACGCTCGCGACTTCCCGCGCTCGTCGTGCTCGCGACTTCCCGCGCTCGTCACTGGTCCCAGAAGATGGGAAAAATGAGCACTGCACCAATGGTGCAAGAGGGTTTCCATGAACTGAATGGATATGCAAAGAAGGAATAAGCACCGTGGTCCCAGGTGCAAGTGACCTGGGGCCAAGGATGTGCTTGCATGGGATAGTGATTCTCCGCGGGATACTCCAGGTTACTTCCGGGCTTTGCAACTGCTGCATACAACTTCGGAGTCTTTCTCGGATTCCAATCTGGACTTTCAGGCCTCCCCTCGATTTCCAGTGCAAAACCTCAAGAAAAATTAGAAATATTGTATAGACCATCTAATGTCCTTGAGGAGTGATGTGCCAAATGCTTGTCTTATCTGTCTTACCTCCTCGGGCCGCCGGGCGCTTGCACGTGCACTTTGGCTGCCAAACCGTGCCTAGACTCAGACTGGTGGCGCAGAAGACATGAGTCGCAAAGGTACAGTGGTTGGGTTCCAATTCACCTCCAAAAAAAAATCACACATTTGAGAAGCAATGATTTTTGATCGATTTGCTCCAAATGTTCTGCTAGTGGGGACCTAGACCTAGGTCTCTGGTTCCAGCGGTCCATCGCCTTGATGAAGTCATTGATTTGCCGTCCAAGCACATCCTGGCGACGCGCGTGCGCACACGCGCAAAAAAATGGTGCATCGATCATCAACCAGGCAGGTTTACAACTGGAACTTCACAAAGTTTCTTCTCAGAAAAGAATTCCAGTACGGATTGACTGTTGAACCAACTCCACCTCAACTACTTTAATATCAAATAATCCAGTAGGTGCCCACCATGAAACTCTTGTGCTTGCCAGTTTGTGCGCACACTGAGTGGTGGCGCATGTCTTCGTCCCGCCCACCAGAACCAAAAGGCGGAAAAAGGACAAAAGGAGAATGGAAGCTCGGCTTGAAATGTCTTGACCTGAACAGACCTGGTCCACTCGTCCCGGTCCCGCCTCGGGCTCCAAGCCCGCGTCCGCGGGCGTGGAGCCTCACCAGTTCCGAGCCCAACGCGAGTGCACGAAAGAACTGGAGGCCCCAACTCACCCCCCCCCCAATCACCAGAGCCAACATGGAACCCCTCTGTAGGTGAGAAGGAGTCGGTCTCTTGTGGGGAGACGTCCACCCAGTGTATAGATCTCCATCCATCCCCGCACCAAACTCTGAGGTGTCAACCTGAGAGCTGTGAAGGTGTCCAGATCACCACCCTCATGGGTCCCTAATCGATCGACTTCTTCCTTCTCGGATCCGTCCTTGCGATCTCGCTGTCGGTCTCATCGGCCTCGAGCCCGAGGGGACTGGGGACTGGCGCATCAACTCCGAAAAAGAAAAAGCTGTCACCCAAGGGATCCGGTGGATTTCAAAGATTTCTCGCAGGTTCTGAAAGGGGTGAACCACGCCATCGCTGAGGCCGCCGGCCCAAGTCCCAGTGGTGCAGCCTGGAGCCTTGGCTCCGGACGTGGTCCTTGCCACACCTGGCCAGACGCGTCGGTTCCGGGAAAGGATTCAGAGCTATCTAAGATCCAAAAGCTGGGTACATGAACGGGTACCTCACTTGCGCTTGGGTTTGTCTTGCGCTCCGGTGCTCAGTCCCAGCACCGGTGGCCCTTTTCCACCAGGACAGGTCCAGTACGTGGCTGCGGGTCTGTGTGAGACAACGAAGCGCCATGGACCACTGCATCGCAGCATGGTGTGCCTCGGCCGAGGGGCACAGCAAAAAGGGGCCAGCCAGCGCCCGAAAGGTGTCACATGGTTTCACAGTTCGACTGGCCAACAACTCAGGGAAAGAGAACAAGGTCACCTCTGCCCCTGCAATCTTCGAGCTGCGATGCCAACAAGACGGATATATAGACAAAAAAAACACAGATGCCCTCTCCCATCTCCAGATCCCCTCCCAACCTCTCCCATCTCCATCCACTCCATCCACTCCTCATCCCCAGTCCCAGAGACGGCCACCGCCGCCTCCAAGGACACAGCGTTGGCGCGGCCCCACAGTGTGACCAGCAGAAGCGGCGCCCGACGCCACTGAAGTCCTAAAGGAAGAGGATGGGATTCTGAAAGAAACCAACAGGAGAAGCCCTACCCATCATTTTGAGCCCGGCGACGTAGCACTCACTGCACATCTTACAGGAAGATACAGACACCTTTCATACACCAAGAGGGCCTCCCCTTCTGGCATAGCGGAGCCACTAGATTGGGAGACCAATGAGCACTTTAGCGCATCGTCTCATTGTCATCCACCAAGTGGTGGGTTGGCCTCAATCTCCCAATACATGGTGTAACCATCGCGCAACCGAAAGGTTCGGGCACAAGGCCGCTCCTCACCATGCGCCCCACACGCGGCCAACTGTGCGCCAAGGGCCTGATCCAGTTCAGTCAGGCCTGATCCAGTTCAGTCGGAATCCCTTGGTGGGTAGGGCTTGTTCAAACCAGGAACCGGTCAAGTTTGCATGAGAACATTGCTTTCCATCAGCATCATTCCAAACAAATCCCAGGCGAAACACACTTTGTCTTAATTATCACTCAATGACTCAATGACCAAGGAACTGTCAATTGCTCCGGGGCATCAAAAACACGTCATGTGTTGTTCAAAATCACCAGGATGCAAATCAACTGAACACTAATCGATCGCGGCAAGCGAGGCCATTTAATGAGGGGAGTTCACAGCTCCCCTCCGCGTCACCGAGCAGCTGCAGAGTGTGTGAAACGAGACCTCACATGCTGATGGTTGATGAATATAGACCCTTATATTGGAGTCATTGCAAATGCAAAAAAAGGACTCTGGAATCTGGAAGGGTTTTCTTAATCCACAGTCTACATGATACCATAGGAATACAGTTCTGCTCTAAAAAGTCAATTGGTGACGAGAAACATCACGGGTAAAAAACAAGAAACTCGGAAGCCGCAGGCAAAGACAGAGTCATGTTACCGTGACAAGCCATGTCTCAGCAGCTTCTACCCAAGGTCTTTGGTGGAAGCAGGACGTGCAGATCAACTCCTTGCCACGATTTTGAGCCCAGCAACATAGCACTCACTGCACTATCTTACAGGAAGATACACACACCTTTCATACACCATCCGAATTGCAAGATTCCTGCATCATGGAATCAAGAGGGCCTCCCCTTCTGGCATAGCGGAGCCACTAGATTGGGAGACCAATGAGCACTTTAGCGCATCGTCTCATTGTCATCCACCAAGTGGTGGGTTGGCCTCAATCTCCCAATACATGGTGTAACCATCGCGCAACCGAAAGGTTCGGGCACAAGGCCGCTCCTCACCATGCGCCCCACACGCGGCCAACTGTGCGCCAAGGGCCTGGGCCTGATCCAGTTCAGTCAGGCCTGATCCAGTTCAGTCAGAATCCCTTGGTGGGTAGGGCTTGTTAAAACCAGGAACTGGTCAAGTTTGCATGAGAACATTGCTTTCCATCAGCATCATTCCAAATAAGTCCCAGACGAAACACACTTTGTCTTAATTATCACTCAATGACTCAATGACCAAGGAACTGTCAATTGCTCAGGGCATCAAAAACACTTCACAAATCAACTGAACACAAATCGATTGCGGCAAACGAGGCCATTTAACGAGGGGAGTTCACAGCTCCCCTCCGCGTCACCGAGCAGCTGCAGAGTGTGTGAAACGAGACCTCACATGCTGATGGTTGATAAATAAATATAGACTATAGACCCTTATATTGGAGATGCCAAAAAAATGACTCCTGAATCTGGAAGGGTTTTCTTAATCCACAGTCTACATGATATCATAGTTCTGCTCTAAAAAGTCAAATGGCGACAAGAAACATCACGCGTTAAAAAAATACAAAAGAACTCGCCAGCCGAGATGGACACAGGCAAAGACAGAGTCATGTTACCGTGACAAGCCACGTCTCAGCAGCTTCTACCCAAGGTCTTTGGTGGAAGCAGGACGTGCAGATCAACTCCTTGCCACGATTTTGAGCCCAGCAACATAGCACTCACTGCACTATCTTACAGGAAGATACACACACCTTTCATACACCATCCAAATTGCAAGATTCCTGCATCATGGAATCAAGAGGGCCTCCCCTTCTGGCATAGCGGAGCCACTAGATTGGGAGACCAATGAGCACTTTAGCGCATCGTCTCATTGTCATCCACCAAGTGGTGGGTTGGCCTCAATCTCCCAATACATGGTGTAACCATCGCGCAACCGAAAGGTTCGGGCACATGGCCGCTCCTCACCATGCGCCCCACACGCGGCCAACTGTGCGCCAAGGGCCTGATCCAGTTCAGTCAGGCCTGATCCAGTTCAGTCAGAATCCCTTGGTGGGTAGGGCTTGTTCAAACCAGGAACCGGTCAAGTTTGCGTGAGAACATTGCTTTCCATCAGCATCATTCCAAACAAGTCCCACACGAAAAACACTTTGTCTTATCACTCAATGACTCAATGACCAAGGAAGTGTCAATTTCTCAGGGCATCAAAAACACTTCACAAATCAACTGAACACTAATCGATTGCGGCAAACGAGGCCATTTAACGGGGGGAGTTCACAGCTCCCCTCCGCGTCACCGAGCAGCTGCAGAGTGTGTGAAACGAGACCTCACATGCTGATGGTTGATAAATAGATATAGACTATAGATCCTTATATTGGAGATGCCAAAAACAGGACCCCTGAATCTGGAGGGGTTTTCTTAATCCACAGTCTACATGATATCATTGGAATACAGTTCTGCTCTAAAAAGTCAAATGGCGACGAGAAACATCACGCGTGAATAAAAAATAGAAATGAAACTCGCAAGCCGAGATGGACGCAGGCAAGACAGAGTCATGTTACCATGACAAGCCACGTCTCAGCAGCTTCTACCCAAGGTCTTTGGTGGAAGCAGGACGTGCAGATCAACTCCTTGCCACGATTTTGAGCCCAGCAACGTAGCACTCATTGCACATCTTACAGGAAGATACACACGCCTTTCATACACCATCCGAATTGCAAGATTCCTGCATCATGGAATCAAGAGGGCCTCCCCTTCTGGCATAGCGGAGCCACTAGATTGGGAGACCAATGAGCACTTTAGCGCATCGTCTCATTGTCATCCACCAAGTGGTGGGTTGGCCTCAATCTCCCAATACATGGTGTAACCATCGCGCAACCGAAAGGTTCGGGCACATGGCCGCTCCTCACCATGCGCCCCACACGCGGCCAACTGTGCGCCAAGGGCCTGATCCAGTTCAGTCAGGCCTGATCCAGTTCAGTCAGAATCCCTTGGTGGGTAGGGCTTGTTAAAACCAGGAACCGGTCAAGTTTGCGTGAGAACATTGCTTCCATCAGCATCATTCCAAACAAATCCCCGACAAAAGACAGCTTACCACTCAATGACCAAGAACTGTCAATTGCTCCGGGGCATCAAAAACACTTGGTGTGTTGGTCAAATCACCATGAAGCCAATCAACAGGGATGGAAAGCCTGCTTGGCTTTGCATCGCTCACCATTCTGTGTGTGTTGTTCTGCTTGTCTGATTGAGCTCCTCGTCCAGCTTGGAAGTAGGCCACTCACAGCTAACAAGCCTTCATGTTAGGCCACTCTGCAGCCGAACCTTATCCCCCACCAAAGGCATGCAGCTGCCACCGTCCGACCGGTCCGCAGCACCGGTGACCGGTCCGTTGGACCATCAAGAGGGTACTGTGGATTCAGAGGCTCGATGGCACAATCCCCAAGAGGTGGTTAAAATGGGATCCCATCTAAAAGACATCTTAGATGCTGTGCCATCTACTCTGAAACCACTGTAACCGCTTCGCCTGATCTCCCGGCCTGAAGCACAGGCACGTAGCACGGCATTGGCCGCAATGGTCCCCCAATCACCGGCTGCACAGCCCAGTTTGAGGGCTGCCGGCCAGGCGGCTGCGCGGGCACAGGCGGCCAAAACGCTGTTACTGGTGATGGGGTCCGCCACACGCAGCAGGTTCGCCTGGAAAACGAAGCAAAGGACAAGGTGCGGACGGTGGATGAACAAAAGCCCTCATGTGGAGTATATGGAGAGGTGCATCTTTGCCATCCAATTAGGGGGGGCGTTGTGAATCGACCGTCTACATCAAAAGATTCAGTGAAAGGATTGACAGGAAGCGAGGCCTCGGAAGCTCTATTGACCAGCTCCTAAAGAAAGAGCTCTTCCCCTTTCAGTCCTCTCAGTCCAAAACCTGAGCCATCAACAAGCTTGCCTGTGCTTGATGGTAGATGACGAGCCATCAAGAACACTCCTTTTTCGAAGATTTCTTTTGTAGGCCTTTAGCCCTTTAGACTGTGACCTTTCTGTTCTTTTCAATTCCCCAAAAAAAGCCCCGCTCGCTCACCACGTCCTCCTGGAACAAGCACAGGGCCATCTCCCAGGTCTCTTCCACTGCAGCCATCCGCTCACACGCGCTCGCGGCGCCATTGTAGGAGATCACGTCCCGCTGGAAGCGAGCGCCTGCCGACGCTTCGACCGACGCCCACGGACACTGGAACGGGGCGGACTGACGGGTGTGACGGGGTGGGGAATCAGGGTGGGGTGACCCGGCTTTAGGGATGCCGGTTCTGGATCCAGCCAGCCTGATTTCACGAAGCTCGCACCAGTCAGTAGAGTGTGTCAGTAAAACGAAGTGACACTTGGCACCTTCTCAGGCATGTTTGGATCCCGTCCCCACCATAAAGCACCATAACTCCAGAGCAAGGAGATGAAAGTCAAAAGGAAAGACGGGGGGCCGCTCGCGCGGGTGGCCGCTCTGCTCCGCTCTGCGCCGGTCCAGGGCTCGCCTGACATGGATTGCAGCATTTCCAAAGCCCAAGCCCACTGACCTCAGCATGTTCAGTCTCCCAGCGCTTTGCATGGGGCTCATCTCCAAAACAACTGGAACCACCTGAGGGCGCTCATCGGTGAAGAAGGCGGCTTCAGCGGGGCGTGGGAACCTGGGAACCCAACTCCAGGTCTTCCACGGAACCGAGGCACGGATGTTGAAGGAGGACCACCAGGCTTTGAAAAGGAGGCCGAACTTGTCCGAGGTCGTTTTCCAGTTCCACCAGGTTTTGAAACCTGCCAGTTGGTAGCTCAAACAGGGGTCTCCCTCCCAGGCACCGGGCTTCGGTGCGGGAGAGAACGACCAGTCTACCCAGGGTCATCCACCTCTGTGGTCCCAGCAGTGGCAGTCCCAGCAGCCATCCTTCTCGCAGGCGCTGATGGCCGCATTCCAGCCCACTGTAGAAGGGCATGGCAAGGCAAGGGCCTGCTTCCAGCGGTAGCCTCGGGCAGCTTGGCCCCTAACAGAAGAGGGCCTGAAAGAATGAGGATCCCCCTGACAAATATTCGCGGCTCTTGCCAACGGAAGAAAAACCATGCGTCAACAAGACAGATCAGGTCCCTTCCAACAAACCACCATAAAATGCTTGTGGAATCGAGTAAGCTCCTCTAGCACCATTGCGGTGAATGGTTCAAAGGTACCACCGGTACCATTTGCTTCTTAAAGCATCCTGGCCGCCCTGACCTTCGGCCTTGACTTTGCCTTGGAAAGGAAGTCCCAGCTTGGAATTGGTTGGATTGTTGGAATGCGTGGTGCTCCTAGCTCCGAGGAAAGGCTTGGCGATGTGTTTGGAGCAAATCATTTCATCTCAAGAAAGAACACGTGTCCCCCTGGCCTTTTTCACAAGCGCTGATGGCGGCACAGTCTGAGATCACCTCAGATTCTCTCCCAGCTGGGTTTCATTGGCCTTGAAAGGCCGGCTATTTTAGCCCTACACTCAAAGAATTACACCAGAATGGAAGGAACAGAAGCTGTTCACCCCAGGCCGCCCCAGGCCCCATGGGTGGACACCATGTTCAAAAGCAGCGGTGGGTGTCCCCGTGCCCTTCTTCGCTCCCCGGTTCGCTCACCATGCACCGATTGGATTGGAAACTGGGGGGGGGGCGGGGAGAAACCACCTTCAATGAAGAAGCATCATTCGCGCGCACCAGTTTGTTTGAACCCTTGCCCACTCAATTGTAGAAGCAGGTAGAAGTCAATTGTCATGAATCGTGCGGTGGGCTTAGGATTCTGACAAGCTATGTGGCTGAGTGCTTTGATGATTTTCTGGTCTCTGCTGTTCCTGTCAAACAAGAGGTATATAACTCACCAAATGACATTCCGCGATGATTGTCAGAAAATTGAATAGCAAAACTGTTGAATACATCTCAAAGTTCCTGACCTTGAAACCAAGACAAGATCTACTGCTATGCTGCAACCACATATGCCAAGCTTTGCTGCAGAAATCCATAAACCCCATCAACCCTTTGGGCCAGAGATTCATCTGCATCCATGGCAGAAGCTCGCAAGGACCAATGCAAATGCAAGGACAGGGGCCACTGATCTCCTGCCGTTCGCTCCGATGTGCCGGATCAGGTCGAAGGTCAACCTCACCGGATCCTCCAAAAAGATAGAGAGAAAGAGTAGAGAAGAAGGTATTGATCTATCTGGGATTTCTGGGATTTCTCGAACTACCCTCTTCTTCGTCTCTCTCTCTCTCTCTCTAGATATATATATATATATCCCAAATGTCTCTCTCTTCGTTCTTTTCCTTGAATGCCACCACTCCCACTGGCCAGTCGTTCACCCCTGCGCTGCATTCCTGCCACGCTTTGACCGAAGCGCCCAGCATTTGACGGAAACAAATCGGTGCAGCGCAACGACCAGCTGCCCCACCTGCGCCCTGCGCCCCACCCCCCTTCACCCTCCAGGCGTGGTCTCTCGAAGTCTAGACATGTCAATCCATTCGTCATTAACCACAAGTGACCTTCGCCACATGCGCGTGGTTTCACCGGTGGTTTTCACACCACGGAACCGGTGGTGTTCACACCGCTTCAGCGGCGAAACACTTCGCATCGACCGGCGAAAGCGGCAGTCCTTTCTCGCCTGCACTGATAGCTGCATTGAAGGAGATCAAGTCAGCTTGGAACCCCTGGCAGAAGAGGTGCACTCATGCAAGAACCAGACACTCTGCCAGATGGTCATTTCTGTGGTTTTTTGAGGCACGGCTGGTACCAAGATTCTTTACAAGAAGCGAATACGACATGGTAGCTGAAAGTCGCCGGCTGAACCTTCCCAAAGTGAATCAATCACAGCTAAAAGCTGCATGGTTTCTGCTTGGAAGAGCCCGCCGAATTCAAAACATGTCATGAAACTCACCATTGCCTTCAGCTTGCTCAAGGCCAATCGCCACATAGAGCCTTAGAGGAGGAAGCCATGAACGAAAACAGCGTATTCAGACTGGAAACCTGAGGAAATGAACCATCCAACATGGAAACCATTTTCAAGGTCGGCATGACCTAGCTGCTGAATGCATGACTTAGAGGACTTAGCGGCTTAGCGGATGATGTCAATATTTGGTGCAGCCAACATTCTCAGCAGATTGAGAGTCCAAAACTCTGCATGCCAAGAAGCTCTTCTCGTAGATAGTAATGGCCGTGTTGTGCGTGATCCTGACAATCAGGCAACAACAAATGGGTTCGTCATTCCTGTACTAAATGGGTCAACAATGGGTCATTAATGGATTTCATGCCACCAAGAAGAACCCCTTCAAAAGGCACCTGGATGTTCTTTCACACGAAAGAGGGACAGAATCGGACAGAACAACATGGAACACCATGGTCGCCATTCACATCCACTGATTCATCGATCCCTTTGACAGTAGGCCTATAGGTCGTTCGCCCAGCCTGTTTCCGCTGACCCGCCCGCGGACCCCCAACCTGTTCCGTCGCAGTCGATGGGCTCCGCTGCTCTCGAGGAGCACCAGGCCCCGATGCCACGAGACCTCCCGGTGGATCGGCGAGGAGGACGAGGGGGTGAAGGGGTGGGGGGTCGAAAGCAATGGGTCGGTCGTTTGTGAGTGATCATGGATATGTGAAACAACATGTGTGTGTGTGTGTGCGTGTGCGCGTGTGTGTGTGTGTGTGTGTGTGTGTGGGTCTACGTGTGGGCGTGTGCATGTGGGTGTGTATGTGTAGATGTGTCTGTTTGTGCACAACATGTGAAACTCCCAAAGAATGTCGATGTCAAAACAGGCACCTATATATGTCTTCATCACCCTTCACGTAGAGAAGGAAGAAAACATAAGAAAACCAAAGTCTCAGAACCTGTCCCTTCCAATCAACAATGCTGCAATGCTGATTTGACTATCCTTTTTGCTTTTCTGCTTGTGTTGCAGCATTGCATGGTTCCAACGTCTTCGGCGTCTTCGGCACGGAGTGGCCTTTGCCAACAAGGTGTTGGTGGTGATGGTATCACCGCGCAGTCGAAGCTCCTGACGCTGATCACATCAGCTCAGGGATGTTCAAACGCACTTTCCTGGACCTCCTGTCGAAGCTTGTGCTGCTAGCCAAGCTGCTAAGCCTGTGCAGCTCAAGAACCCAAGCTACACGTGTTAAACGAGAAAAAGAATAGCTATGATGTAAAAAGAATCTAATACTCATTAAACCATTATACTTGCTTTAAACCACTATATAGATTGATGTTTAATCCATTGAACCATTTATGAGTGGATTCTCTGCCGTCCTGCGACTTCCTGAAAAGACTCAGCGCTACAGCCCAGCTGGTGTCACCGGCGATGACAGAATTGAAGCTGACCATCTGCAGTGCAGGCGGACCCAAACTCATGAGGTTGGTTGAAGTATTTCAACTCAAAATCGGACACCGTAGAGGTCCAGTTCGACCATTTTTGGGACAAACAAGAAGTGAAGGTTCAGCTCCGAATTCCTTGGGTCACCGAGTCGGAGAATTCGAAGAATGGTTTTGGACTCGCAAAAAGTCGACAGTGAGGTGCAAGCATCGAGACATCATCATAGTACCAGTACTCATACTCATCATGAAGTCCATTAATTGGGCTCCAACATGCAGTTGGGCGTTTTGCCCTAAAAAGCCCGGCAAATGCAACTCCTGCTGACTCCGAACAAAACCCCATTCGCCACATGGCACAAGCCTATCCACTTCCACCCTGCCACGTGAGTGCCACTCGGCTGTCCTCCTGAGCACCCCGGCATCCACCCGCTCCCGCACCAGGGCCACGGCCGCCGTGTGCCACGGGAGCCGCCCCAGCAGCGCGTTGAAGAGAATCACCTCGTCGGGGCCGTCGTCGGAAGTGCGCGGTGCGGTGTGGCTCGGCGCCGCATCTCCGAGTCCAGCACTGCGAAGCTTGAAAATGAGTACTAGGCCATCGCTTCTTGCTCCCAATAGCGGTGGCCCCCAACCTAGTAGCGTCCGCTCCTATAGTAGCGATGCCCTGGTTACTAGTAGCGATGCGAGGAGCTACTAGTAGCGTCCTTGCTCCTAGTAACTAGTAGTAATGCCCCCATGTTGAAGCGACCACAAGTGCTACAACGCTACTCCAAAGATTGAGAAGGTCAATATTTGTATACTACGATAAGGCGTTATACAGAGACGGTGCCAAAGACTTCAAATCCACATGACGAACTGTCGGAATGCTGAAGGGTGGCACGGTGGCACAGGTCTTCTCACCAGGTCCTCTGGGCACCTCCGGGCCTCCCAGTCCACCTCTGGGCCTCCCAGTCTCGGCCCATCTCCCAGTGCTCGCAGTCTCGGCACATCCACATCCATCTGCTTCTCGCTCAATTGGACGGCCCGCGGCCACTCGGTGGCTCTGCCGCAGGCGTTGATGGCGGCGGTATCAGATACAACATCTCCTCGGAAAGAAACGGTGACGAAGACCAGGCACCCAGCAAAACTTGTGAAGTGTATCATTGTTCCATATTCTTCCATATTCTTCCCTTGGGTGTTCATGAGGTTCCTATGGTTGCTATAGCCGAAGATTATAGTTTCAGTTGCCGTAAACAAGCTGCTGCATTTGGCTCAGGTGTTCCATCAAAACAAACTGAAACCGATCACTTGGAAGAAGTTCCCGTTGATCTGCTCCCGAGTTCTTCTGCACACACCGAAACGCCGGAATTCACATGGGAATTCCTCTTGATTCAGCTGCGTGGTGAGGGGTCCAGCCGGTGTCAGTGTCTTTCTCCCAACGCCTCTCAAACCGCACGTAGTCTTCGCTCTGTTTGGCGGCTAAGCCCATGTCTCCGTGTCTGCCGTGTCTGCCGTGTCTGCACGTCCCAGCCTGGCCAGCCCAGCCCGCGAACCAATCCGCTCCTTGAAGTGAGAACTGCAGCAGGCCTTACGAGGTCCCCATCGGGTCTCTTCTTCTGACGTGGAAAAGACACCAGTGACACTTGCGGAGATTTGCGGTGGGTTTGCTTAGCGTCAAACGGAAGAGCTCGCAACCATGAAACTCTCACGAGCCAAGCTCCTTGCAGTTTAGCACTTCCCTTTTCCAAAATCCTCTGAAGTGAAAGAAAAAGGATGGCCAAGAAGCAGAGCTGAAGCACAAGCACCAACTCCCAGCGCTCTCGAGCTGCATTGCTCACGCTGTTGAAGCTCACCACGTCTGCAGAGTCGCCCAGAAGAGCCAAAGCAAAACGCCAGTGACGACCTTGGTTCCACAAGTAGCATGTGCATCGCTACTAGTAACAAGAAGCTACTAGGTTGTAGTAACAAGTGCATTTCTACTAGTAAGAAGAAGCTTTTTTTTGTGCCAAAAAAGACACCGGTTGGCAGACGACATCAAATGCATCCTGGGGATTCCAAAATGGGATGCCAATCTCATGCCCAAGGTCGGATGGGTCATATGAGTCATGCAAAACACCTACCCCAAGGCCTCACGAAAAGCGCCAACCCCATCCACCTACACCTTTAGAAGGTGGACATGAAGGAGGATGCCTGAGAAGTTCGCTGCTTCGCTGGTGATTCTGAAGCCGCTGGTGCGAACGAGACTGGAAACCGGTCCAAGGGACTCCTTTCGCATGCATGGATGGCCGTCTTGGTGATCCCCTCGTGGAGCGACCGCTGCCTCCCACGCCCCGGACCTCGGCGCAGGGCCTCCAGAGCCCTGGGCCACGACGGGGCCTTCGCCCAAATGCCCCGCTGCTTCCATTGGAGAAGCTCCGTCACGCCGTCACACCACGGTCGCACCACGTCTCACGGGGCCGCCGCCGCGGTCGGCGTGGCGAAGGTCGGCGGATGAGACGCCGCAGCATCGCTGGATGCACACCGTTTGGTGCGATTGTCGCTGGATGCCATCAAGTGATAAAGGCATTAAGTTATAAGTTCAGTTCTGACTGATTCAAAAAGAAACCTGTTTCCAAAACCCGTCAGAAGATGAAAAAACACCTTTTGGCGAAAGAAAAATGACCCCAAATCCCCCCCCACCGAGAGAGAGCCGGTCTCACCTCGCCGACGGGGCTTCAGCACCGGGCAGGGCTGGGCGCAGAAGGACAGTGTCGCACCCGGGACAGCTGTCCACAACGACCCGTCCCGACGCCTTTCCTAGGCTGCGCGAGCCGGCTACGCTGCCATGCCTGGTGATGACACGGCACCAGCACTGAACGGGTCACTGGAGCCGCCCGCGAAGCTGTCACAGCCTCGCCGGAGTCACTAGCACGAGTCGCGTGGCACGATCGATGCGAGCCCAAGAGTCGTGGGATCAATCTACAAAATATAGATCTACTGTATATGTGGATATACATATTATATGTGTGACATGATGTGACAAAAAGACTTGTAAACCATTGTTGATAGACTTGATTCTACCAAACTACAACACCTGACAGACCCGGATGGAAAACCGATCGTGTTCAGACCCTGACAGACGACCGGTAACCAGTGGAATCTCCAAAACGTGTGGGCCACGCTCGACTGGATCGCCCCAAAACGACCGTCTGGTGCGACTCGAAAGGAATGAAGATGGCTGAAATGAGTGTCCTTCATTCCTTGATGAGGAGAACACCTGTTTTGTTCGCCTTGATCGCCACCCGCCACTGCTTAAGATGAAGAACACAACGAAGAATCCCTAGGGCTCCAAGTACCTCCTTAGAAGGTACTCCAAACCCACCGCAAACACCCTCTTGGAAGGTGCTTGGAGCCCTAGGGAATAGGACTTCCAAAATGACTTCCGACTGCCGGTCTCTGGGACCTTCACCCGTTTCATGTCCAACGAGCCTCTACGGTCCAGGGAGGACGGATCACCATGGGAACGTTGAACGTCAACTTCTTTCGAATATCATGACATATCATGACTGAGAAACTTCTGGTACAAAATCATCGGGGAATCATGAGGCAATCTGGGAAGCGTTGAGTCCCATCACTCACCTGAGTCCCTATCACTCCGCCAGGCCGCCTGCCTGTGGGGTCCACCGAGAAGAGACACCTGCAAAGGGTGTCTCAAGATAGAAATCCAAGCATGTCACATCTCGCAGCGTAGAAATGCCATTGAATCTAAACAAAAGAACCACAACGGGTGGGTCATCTGGTCTCCAAGCTCTCCCATCCGATGGCTGAGAGCCCCGTCTCGGCTTTCACGGCTTGCAGTGCTGAAAAACGTTCGCTCCCTCCCTGATCTACTTGCCGTCCGAAGGAAGACACACTTCTTCGCATGGGGTCAACCCCATGGATGGAGGAGCAACGACCCCAAGTCGCCTAAAGGCGACTCTTCTGCGACTCGTTGCAAAGCACATAGTGACAGAATGCCAAGGAATCCAACATGTACCCTCTAATTATATACTTGTGCGGGGAAAGCGTTGCACTGGTTCTCTGCACCTGCACAGGAGAAAAAAGATAGAAAACAACGAATCCCAACCTTGTCAGTTAGAATACAGTATGCGTTGCTTGTCCACTGGATCTCTCAGTGGATGCACGAGGAATGAACCACCCACTGCAGACCCCGTGACTCAACACAAGTGGGGAAGAAGAAGATCTTCATCCAGCCCTGTGAAGGAGGTCTTCATCCAACCCTGTAGACCGTAGACCGAAACTCTGCACCTTGGACCCTGCACCAGGACGTCTGTCAGACGTCACGCGGGACGTCACGCGGCTGACGTCACGCCCAACGAGAACCACTGATCGCCTGAAAGACCTTGAACCACAGCTGGACGTGGAGCAGGTGGCGCCTGCGGTGCCTGAGCAGAGAGAGAGAGAGAGAGACGTCGAGCACCTCTGAAGAAAACACAAAAAAATGAAAAAGAGAAACACCAAGTGAATGGAAGGAACACGTGACCCACCGATTTCTCGCTTCCTCCACGTGACTGTCAGGCGCCGAAAGCTTCGTGGGTTTGGCTCGCTGAGGTGTTCAAAAAAAAAACACCCACATCAGCCCCCAAAGGGCCTGGCGCGCCTGCACCAGCGGCCTGGCATGAGTAGTCGTGCACTGCCGGTGGAGCTAGTGTCACTGCACTCCCTGGAATCATGCACCGAGTTGGTCTTCGGATTGGTCAGAGATCCGGGTGATCTAAATGGACAGGTCAAGCTGTCGACCCCAAGCGATCCGAGGAGAGGAACTTGGACCCCCTCGGACCTAGCTACGGCCCGAACGGCACCGGTGGAGCTCTCCATGAGAGCCGACTGGGCCCAATGGCGCTGGGGCCCCCGGCTCCATCTTCGGGGCCAGGCGGGCCATAATCGCATCAAGCCTCACATCAACTCATTCACTAAAGAGCTTGGAGCAGAAAGCAGCTAACGAGCTCTACACAAGTCTTATATAGGTAGTCTTGGCGGCCTAGCAAATCTTCTAGGCTTGCCACGCATTTGGCATCAAGCATAGCTCGCATCACTTGCAAGCTACTTGATGCATCTGCTGATGTTCACGTTCTATCCGGTGACGAAAGGTGTGTCCTGACCTGGATGAAGCGAGGGGACCAACGTTCCGACCTTCCGCCACATGTTCCGCCAAACGTTGGGAATCATCTCGGGCCACTTCTCGACATGGTGTGTCCATAGCCTAGGGTCCGTGTCTAACCTGGGACCTTCGCATTTCCTAAAGTCTTCTAAAGTGCCTGATCTTTGAAACAGGGATGGAGGCATCATTGACCCCGCGTTCCTGAAAGCCTCGAAGTGTGGAAGACTTCGGCAGAGCAAAACCTCTGAGCCGCCCCACTCGGCCAGATTGCGCCGCAGCTGCTGCAAGGGCAACTGGCCCGGCGGCCATATGGGATGACGGATCGGGGCATGGGGACGCGGATGGGTCCGATTCCACCTTAATTGACGGATCGATTCAACCAATACGAAGCTGAACCGAACAAGGTGCTGAAGAATAAGGAAGGGCAGGCTGCACAGGCTGCAGGCTGCGCTATTTCATGTGCCTTTGCCTTTGGCACGAGAAGAGGTTTACTAGAACAAATGAGAAGGCAAAGGCCAACTTCATTCTGTTGAACCCGCGCACGGCCTCTTTTGGCAGCGGCGGTGGTTTTCCAAACCTCGCCATCAGCAGGAACTGCTGCATTGAGTTCTTATCGAGGATCTCTGGCTTTTCATATTTCAGGAGAACTGGCTGTGTCCAGAATAGCTTGGACCGGCTGGAGATCCAAGTTGGTTTCAAGCGAAAATGCAAGTTGGGCATCAACATGCCAGCAACACTCGCGGTGCTCCTCCACCTGCTGATGTTTCCAAGTGATCAGGTCTGTGTATATTTCTAGAGCAAGCAGACTGCAGCCTGCAATCTTTTGACTCTGTGCTTTAGCACCTGGGGGAGGAAAAGCAAAGAGACAGGACCCAAACAGCATGCATTATACGCCCTCTACGCAGTGAATCTCTCAACGCACATCCCTCCAAGCATCCAGAAGGGCGAAGGCTGACATACCAAAAAAATATGTTTAAAAAAAAATAACAAATTGAACGTGTCACAAAATAGAACTGCCACGTCCTGATGTATCTGTCCCTTCGCCCCCGAAGGGACAAGAAAAACCAGCTTTCACCCGACACAGGTCTGCTCATTTTGAGCTCCAGGCCGTCGCCATGGCTTGCTTGGAGTGCCTCAGTGACGGAGATGCAGCTCAATGAACATCTGGCAAGAGGACCGAAACTGAAGACCACTTCCAAAGTCGTTTTCCTAGGAATGTAAGAGGTCCTCCAAGCAGGTCCTCCACCTGCCAGTTTCGCATCACATCATGTCATGCTAGGTTTGGTGAAAGAGAATGTCCTTGACCCCACAAAGGTGGATTGGTCCGACCGTCCAGTATACACCATGGTACTGATCCTGACCCTTGTGTCCTTCTGCCTGCGCAAGCACCGGAGTCGGAGCCAAATCGCTGTCTTGATTCCAATCGAATTAGACCACACGAGAACATGATCTCGAAAAGCTGAGAAAAGCATGAGAACGTCATACCGATTAAAGCCCAACCGGTCCAACCGGTCAACCGGTCACGCGATCCAGCATCATCCTGGATCCAAAAAAACATCGTCTCCGGATGAGACATCGAACGAGCAGAGTTGAGTCTAAGAGGACGTCCAAAGCAACCACTTCTCGTAGGTCGACTGGAGACCGTCTAGACGGGCTGGGAAAAAAAGGAAAAACATCCGTACGGATTGGAAACGCACCCTGCTTTGCATGCTCACATGTCAAATTCATTGGTATTCATTGGTAAACGCAGTGCTTTGTCATGCGTTTTGCCTCAATAAAAAAAGGGCCTCTTCGTGACACCTCAAGTTGCCGGTTTTTTGTGTAACTAGCTGTCCCCTGTCAGGATCCAAGTGCAAGTCTTTTTCATGGATGCCATGGTCGAGCAAATCAGCGGCGGCGCACCCATCCGACATGGAGCTGCTACAACTACGCAACAAACGCCAACTCAACACCAACAGTCACCAACAGAAAAGGAGTTAGTTTCTGTCTTTATTCGACAAAGAAAACCTCAACCACACATTGCACCAAAGTGCGAACAACGAAAGACGAGTTTCTAACACCTGCTCCCAGTTTACCCAGCCACGATCTGAACCCAAAACTGTTGTGAACAAAAGAAAATAAAGGGTCAGAACAGTCACGAGTTAAACCGTCTACGTACTGATCTAAAGAAACCGGTTTGACACACCAAGCAGGAAGAAAATACAAAAAAAGGAGGACAAGGAACACCCGACATTCGAAACAACAAACCTAAAGCACACACCGTGGCTACGTCTTGAGCCTTCATGCTCATGAGACGTATTTGAAAAAACAAGAACGAAATTACAACACCCCCTAATGTTTTCTGTTTTTGGGCCCCCGCTTACGCTATTGCTTCAACTTGGTTACAGTATCTTGCGACATGCAATGACGTGCCATAACATTTGGCTCAAGGTATGTGCGTGTGAAAACAGCCGCTCGATCGCCTTCGCTCACTCGCTCTTGTGATCCTTGTTGGACTGTGAGTTGAATCCAGGGATACTGTGTATTACACGC